CCTCTTTTCAGTGATAATATATTTGCACAGTGGAGTATTATCTTTGTATTATATATATGGCCTTCTGATTTTCATTCTCACTGTTTTGTTTTGAGATAAAGAGTGTATAAAGAGGGTATCCTAACATACACTAAGATGGAGCTGTTTCAATTCATACAAACATCCTATCCTTGAAATCATACTTTCCTGAATATTTTATGTTCGCAGTCAGGAAAAGGAATTAACAAGGAAATAGAAACAGATGTTAGAGTAATGTCCCAAAAACCTGTGAAGTGCTTAGAAAAATACATAGCACCAAAATATGCTTTATTTTGTTTTTAGTGAATCTAGCAGGAATAGAGTGGGATGATTCTGATTAAAAATAAAAAAAAAGAAAGAAAGAAAAAAGAGAGATATTTGCAATGCTTTAAGTAAAAACCACACACACATTTGCTTTGATGTTGTTTGCAACCTCTTTATTCAGTGTCTGGGAAAATGCAGTCAATTTTTTTTTCAGTTTCATGAAAGAATGCTCAAGGTATGCAGAGGACTTCTGGACAGTTGTGTAAATATGTCTTCATAGAAAGCTCTATGCCAGAAGTGTTTGTGTGGCCATCTTGAAATCTCTTCAGTCTTCTAACCTCTTTTTCATGAAAGTGTGAAAGATGCAAACAGCAGGCAAAAAAACCCCCCAAACCCAAAATCAAGCATGCTATAATTTAGAAGGTCTTTTGTAGCAAACTAGCAAATAATCATTCAAAACTAGCAGTCTGTGAATAACTTCAGCAATTTATGGTACTTGTTTAGTTCGCTCCGTATTTTTAGAAACAAATATGTCAGCAAAGCTGCATGGATTAAACAGAGAAGAATCCCTGCTGTACAGTTCAGGTCCCAGAAGCCATCTGGTCACAGAATCCTGGAGTTCTGTGGACGTTTGTCCAATCACAGTGGAAACATTTCCAATACTTTGAGGGCACTCACAAAGAGTCTTCTGTCATAGACAGCTGATGCCAAGACATTCCCACTTGGTCCCCATGTGTTGCCTGGTCTAGTCGAGAGGTGGCGTCCCTGCCCATGACAGGGAGGTTGGACTAGATGATCTCTAAGGTCCCTTCCAGCTTAGGCCATTCTATGATTCTATGATTCTATGATCCTATTTTTGGCTGGAGGACTTGATGGCAATCCTGGAGTACCCTTTTTATGTTCACAGTTATGCCACAAGACTTTCAAACAAAACTCTTATAGAGTCCACGTACAACCCTATGACTCCACATAGAAACTCTGCCTGATTTGAGTGATTATTCTCTTGTGCTTTGAGACAAAAGGCTAAAGACCCCTGGATATCCAGCCTCTTTCATAGCTTTGCTACTTTCTTGGTAGGCCAGCCTGGAGACAACAGAAATCAACATCACTCAGCCTCATAGCAAAAGCTAGTGAGCAAAACAATTGAAGGTTCTGTATAAGGGGAAAGTCAAGGACACGGGGAATAAGGTGTTCTTCCGGGGCATCAAAGTGGGAGAATATATGTGCCATCAGTGATGACACAGAATTTTCTTCTGATGAGACAAAAAACCCAAACCACATACTATTTGTACTCAGGTGAAGTCACGTTTACTGTGTGATTTAAGCAGGAAAGAGGCAAAGGTATCAGAGTCAGCCCATGAGGTTCTTAACACCTGATGCCACATCTGCAATGTTTCATTCAGGCTTAGGCTGGCTGGCCCTAAGACAAAAACTATAAAAGAGAAACAGCGTCAAGAGAAGTCTCTCAGACGTCCACTTTTCACAGAAGCTGACTCCTTGTGCACAGCGCCTGACCAGAACCCAATCTCAGCAAAGTCATAGCACACGCTGTCCTATCTCTGGCCTCCAAATTATGATTAAGAGCACAGATCAAGGCTTTTAAATTACGTATCTGGAGAGTGCTTGTAAATGTTCTTCTATAAGGGTTACAGAATCAGCAAAAACCTTCTATGGTGACTATCACTCAGGTTCTACAAGTTTTACACATGAGCAGTGTGAGTAACCCGAGTATATTTTACATCAATTTTTTACGATTCTGTTGCTTTTTTCCCTACTTCTGTTTCAATAACATCTGTTACAGGACAATGTGTTACTGGAAGTAAAAAATGGAAGAATCACTCCTGTGCTAAGTGACTTTTGAAGTTATAAGAAGAAACTTTTCAATACACAGCCAAGCCTGGCTGAGAAAATAAGGAAAGGGTGTAATTTACTACTATTTGGTAACAAATGTATGCAACAAGCCTACACACAACAGGGTGAGTTGGTATTTTCAAATACATCCTCATTACACAGATTACAGAAAAAAATGCAAGTTTCTTTTCAATGATTACTTTTTTTTGTTTTTCTTTTGCTGCCTCACACATCGTCTTTTTGATGGCTTTTCCTGCTTTAGGGGAAATTCTTCCAAACCTCTAAGATTAATCTTTATGGTAGTTGGTAGCTACAGACATTGGATCTGATAATTTTCTTCTTAAAATTCAAAAGGGAGTTTTGCCATTGATTTTAAACAGAAGTTGGATGATGAAATGCTTTAATATTATTTCTCTTTAAGAAAAAATGTTTTCAATTAATTGCCACATGAACCTTGGACTGCTAGAGGGGTTGGGCTGGGGAAGACCAAATGAAGTAAGACTCTGAAAGTCATTGCTGATGTCGTTTTCTTCTTAAGAAAGCAGCAGTGTTATAAATTTCACACGTTCGCATGCATCATGCATCTGGTTTTGGAGCCAATTTCATAAAGTTTGCTTCATTAGCAGTATTTATTACTACTCTAAACATTTATTTCTTGCCAACTCCTATCAATGCAGGCTAGTTACACATGTTGCAAGCTTGCTACCAGCTGGGTGAGGAAATGACTACACATGCTACCTACTGGGGAAATGCATGTGGGCTCGGTATTGGGCTGAGTCAAAAGTCACTGCACAGTTTTAGAAAGAGGAAGTACTAATGACAAATTTGATAAATGTTAATAATGACAATTTATGTTTCAGGGTTCCTTGAGCAAAATTTTCTTATCACTCAGGAACACTGTCTCTGCTGAAGAGTGTTTGCAAAAAAACACAGTCAGTTAATATCAAAACAAATAGTCATTAGAAATGTCACTGGTGCAAATCAAAACTATGTGCAGACATTCTATTGACTGACAAGGCT